TGCACTGAGCTATATTCCCTAGCCCCCCCCCCTTTTTTTTTTGAGACAGAATGTCAGGAAGTTGTTAAATTGCCTAGGTTGGGCTCAACCTTGGAATCTTTCTCCCTCAACACCCAAGAGCACTGGGATTACAGGTGTGCACCACCAAGTCTGTTTTCTCTGGGCTCTTGAAATATTTTTCCATTGCCTAAGTGGTACCTCTGAGGGAGTTAAGACTGTAATGTCTATACTTCCTGGGTCCTGATTCCAGCAAAATCTCTTAATTCCAGCAATCTAGGCAGCCTCAGCTCTGGCTACAGTCCAAGTTTCCTGCTGGGTGTCTCCCAGGGAGGCCCTGCTCAAACCGGCCCTCCCTAGGGGGCCTCCCTTCCCCCTCTAGCTCCTACCCTGCCACAGCAGCCAGGGCTAGAGTTCCACCACTTGGCAACTCTGCAGCCTGCAAACTATACAACCAGGAGAATCCTATGAAATCCACCCAAATGCCTCAGAGCACAACACAAACAGGAGCTGAAGCATCACCACAGGAGATGGGGTGGCTGAATTTGAAACGCCTTTTTCATAATCAAATCAAGTTTTAACCCAGATTGAAGGAAGAGTCATAAGAAGCAGAAGTTGTCTTCCAAGTGAGGACATGGAGCCAGCTAAGAACAAATGAAGAGGTGGATCTAAGCACCAAGGACAGGCCAGCCACAGGTCTGGTTAAGCCTGTATGTCTGTTACCATCCACTTCAAGGAGTCCTAACTGAGTACTAACTGCTGCACATGCAACACCCAGAACAAAGAAAGATTCAGCTGCCATCAGTAAAATAGATGAACAAGTGAAAAAGACAGTAACTCATCCCTTGGCACAGCAAGGAACGAGGCAAGCCATGGCCAAGGCCTCTGCAGCCCTCCATGACTGACATCACGGTCCCTCCTGACTTCCTCTCCTACCACTTCCCTCTGACAGGCTCCCTGCATGCAGCTGCTTGGACCCAGCCCCATCCACAGAAATGTCCCCATCCCCACCTTCATCAGCACCAACTCCCACAGGACATGCAGGCACAGATATACCCAGGACCGTGCCCCAGGCATCCTCAGACAATATCTTTTAACCTCTCCCTGTGCTCCTAAAGGCTCCATGAAGAAACAGCTTTGCAGAGACAACACTGGTGCAAGTACCATAGCTTACACTTTAAAATATCACATGGCAACTTATAGCATTCCCCAGATGGGATGACACAGAAGCAGTGTTTCTGGGACCACCACAATGGACCACAGCCTTGAACGATGACACGGACTAAAAAGTGTGGTCAGTGCCAGCTCTGCCCTTCATCCATTCCTGCCAGAAAGCCTACCAGGTGTAGAGGACTGGGAGCTACTCCTTCCCACTCAGAGGTGATAAAGGTGACCGCGAACTATGAAAAACAGCTGCTGTAAGGGAGGAAACATGCGGTCGTCCCTGAAACTGTCATAAGTTTCTGCAAGAAACTCAGCCTGCAGTGCCCACACAGGCTTCACACTCCTGACCAACAACATAAAGCTGAAAATCCAGCACATGGGTAGGCATCTCACTCTGAAGACAGGATTTTGGGGGAAAACATGAATGTGGGCAGCTCAGTGACAGCGCCCGCTCACGGCCAAATATTCACTCCTGCTTTTTCTTCTCAGAGACCTCAGTTTTGATGGAGGCCATGTCTCCGCTGAATCACTTGGCTCCCCAGATCACTTCTAGCCATGTGACAGCTGTGAGGAATGACCATATGACACAGCTCTAGCTAATGACACATGCACTGAAAGTTTCTGGGAGAGCATCCTCCTTTTTGATATAGGTGCAACTCCCAGGAGCAACAAGCATGAGTAGGAAGACAAGCACACTCCAAGGATGGAGAGCACAGGGTCAGAAATACCTGGGTCCCTCAACAACAGTGAGTGGCTATGCCAGCCATCCACTGCTTGTCACACAGGACAAGTGCATCTTGTTTATAAGTCCTTGTGAGGGCTCCTGTCAACTGCAGTTGAACATAACCATAACCCATTTGTATTATACACATATGTGTGCATATACATTGCATGGGTCTGTGCATGTGCATACATTATATGTGCTTGTGTGTTATAACTCTTCATCTTAACAATGGATCTCCCATTCAATCCCAGCAACCACACCATGAAGGAGGTTGGCATTCTATCTGTGGCAGTCTGTATGCTTGTTCTGGAGGTAAAGTCTAACTAGCAGGAGATATCAGAGTAAAGACCTCCAGCCAGATGCACAGGCCTTCCTGCCCCAGGCCAGATGGGTGTGGCTATCTATGGAGCAAGTGAATCCCCCTATTTTTCCCCATACTGGCTTCAGTACTGAAGGGTCCTGATGGGAGAACACCATTAGACAAGTAGGTAACTTGGAGACAACAGCACTAAAAGGTTTTGTTTTTTGTTTTGTCTTCATGAAAACCAGTTATAAAAGTTTCCATTTCAACTCTAGCTCCAGTTAGCATGGCAAAGCTAAGCAGCTGCATACATGGGTTCAGGATATCCCACAGAACCACCAAAAACTTATCTTTAATCAATTTTTCTCTCTGGAAATAAAAGAAAAGAGGCTCAAATATAGCCTCCTCTTCTTGGTTTCCTATTTAAGATTCTTTTTACTTCCTGGATGTTATGGTCTTGAAAATAGCCCAGAGGTTTCAGTTTGTTCTTAGAAGCCATCTAAACTCTGGTAGAAGTTGCAGTCATTTCTATACACAGTATCTTCAAAGGTGCTCCATTGTGCTCCAGCCAGTGCCCAGAACCCTGCAGCCGGGACACATCCAGCCAGCTACAGTGCCAACTCCATCTGAGTGCACTGGCCCTGCAGCCACTCTGCCCTATAGCCCCACGGGGCTACTGCCCTCTGGCTCTCCTGCCTCAGCTGTTTTTCAGCCTGGCTGGCTTCTGCTCATCTCCTGAAGCCTAAAGTCACTCTTGGCCCACACGCTTGACCAGAAACTCCAGGAGAGCAGGGTCAGGCTGAATGCAGAATATAAGATGGCACAAACACTCTCAATTCCACACTAGAGTTCCCAAACTGAGACAGGGAATCTAAGATTACCTCCACACAATTCCTTTGTCACTAGTGTCAGTGCTTTGGCTGGCAAGGAAGCAGAACAGGTTCTAAAGAGACTGTGATTCTCTCCTATAGAGCAGCACTCTGTGTTACCAAACTAAAGGAGCAGAGGGCAATATAGTATCTTCTGGGCCAAAGGCATGAGCCACCATCATGAATGCTGTTGGTTCCCCAAAATTGTCCCATGTCTCGAGTGACTCAGAACTGAGTCATAATTTCTTTTCGTGGAAAGCATGTCAACAGTGGCTAATTCAGCCTAATCAGTAGACTCCTGAATAGAATGGAGAGGCATGAACCTGAACCTGAAGGTACTATGTCGGCTCTGTGATATCCACAGGAATATCTGAGCAGATCTCAAGAAAACACATCCACAGCTACAAAGAGTATGTTGTTACTTCTCACTGACCAGACAGCCTGCTAAACAATGCTGTGACAAACATGAAAAAGGAAATTCTGAGAGGGCATCTGTCTCAAGAGTAAAGCAGTCGCATATGTGCCAACACCATCCTCAGGGGACAGCAAACTCAAACACGGCCCTGTGTGAGGGCCAGCAGAGGGTACTCACACTTTAGGAAGTAGAGAGTGGCACTAAAGCCCATGGGGGCTCTTCAGAAAGTGTTAAAACCAGGCCTTACAGGCTAAAATTTTATGTGCACTCTTGTGACCTTCAAAACTGCTAGGACGATGGCTTGGCTATTTTGGTCCCACGTCAGGACTCAGAGCCTGGTCCCTGCTCTGCCCTGAGCCTGCTCTTCTCCCTACATGATGAGTGAGGGCCATAGAAAAGTCCTATCCTCACCCCTAATCTTTTCAGGGAACAGGACAGGCAGGCAGTTGAGATGGTCAGCAAATAATTTTCAATCTTTCTAGATGGCTCAACACAACTATATAGTTGTGAGAAAATCATGGAGTTTTAATTTTTGATATTCAAATATAAAAGCACACTTCTAGATTGCAAATGGATAGGAGTTACTAAAAGAAAATACCATAAATCAAAAAACTAAAATAAAATCAGATTTGAGGGTTAAAATCCCAACTTTGAATATGTCTGTGAACCTGGAAGCACCATAAACACGGGAAGGTGCCCATACAGAAGAGACCGTCACCACTATTTTCAACCTGAAGTCACATTCATCCACAGACAAGATGGACCTGCTAGGTCAAGTAGCTGCACAGATAGAAGTGCACGGCCCCTCCACCCCTGCCTTACCTGTGTTACTTCTGGCTACAAGGCCCTTAGGGAACTCCCCAGGGGTGGGGGATGTCCTGCTGTCCCACTTCACCATGTCTAGGCTGTTGCAATATTCCCATCTCTTCTGCTGCAGTTCCTGCAACCAGTAAGTCATGAGCTGACGATTAGGAGCCTAGAAAGAGGGTGAGAAAAACTTGTTATAGCCACGAGTAAGACAACAAGCTTTAAAAAATTATGTCTGGGCTGGGAATTTAGCTCAGTGATCATGGTGCCCTCCTTGCAAGTGCAAGAACCCGAGTTCAATCCCCAGTACCCCTCCAAAAAAATATATACGTATATGCGTGTGTGTATGTATGTGTGTGTGTCTGATATATATGTATGTCTATATGTCTACAGACATATATATACACATACATATATACATATACACACACATACACATACACAACACACACACATACACACACACACACATACACACACACACACATATAATATATGTCTGATGGAGACTGTGTACCTTGCCACATGAAAGGGAGCAGTAAGAAGGCCAGAGCAAGGAAATTTCATTTACAGGACTGGTAGCTTTTGATCATAACAAGTTGGTTAAGCAGTTCTAACAAGATTTTTAACACAATTAATAAGAAACCTTTTTAAATTCCAAGACTAGAGACTGATGCAGTTCAACATTTTCCTTAAGATTTTTGAGACTGATTTCCATTCACTCTGATCGTCTATCCCACCTATACATCAAGAAGTCAAGCCTCGCAAAGGTATGGAGGACATATGGCAAATCATATCAAATTATGGCGTTTAAACTCTGCCAGTATTGGAGAGGATATCCAGAAAAAAAAATGCAGATCAGCCAAGCATATTGCATGCCTGCAATCACAGCCACTCACAAAGCTGTATGCAGAATCATAAGTTCAAAGTCAGTTTGGACAAATTACAGATGCCTTGTCTCAAAATAAAAAGAAAAAAAAGGATAAAGACTTAGTTCCATACTCACTGGGTTCTATACTTCCCAGTGCCGCAAAATAAAAAATAAAAACCTGCAAAATAAAAACTAGATGGCACACCTATTAGAATGGCTAATATTTTTTGAAGCTAACAGTATCAAATGTTGACAAGGGTGTAAGGCAACCAAAATGCTCATAAACTGCTAGTGGAAACACCAAAGGGTGAGACAAAACACTCTGGCACTTCCAAGTGAAACGCACTCACCAAGCAACCCTGCAATGCTGTTCTATGCCTATACTGTGTGTGAATGTGTATAAAGGCTTTATCCATAACCATCAAAAATGGCAAACAATCTGAGTCTACATCATCAGTCAAATAAACAGTCAGACTGTAGCACATCCATACAATGGACCTAACCACTGACTCACCAACACAGATGATATTAGATGTACACCACTAACAGAAAGAAGCCAGAACCTAAAGGCCACATGCTTGCTGTCTGAGTTCCCATATGTAATGTTCTGAAATATACAGACAAAAAACAAATCTAGAATGGCCAAGTCTTACAAGCAAGGTGGCAGCTGACTAAATCATAACTATCAGGGAAGGGTCATGATTTCATGCACTGGCCCAAACCCAAATAATTGCACACCACAAATTAACTGTATTCTGTAATGTAAATATCTTTAAAAAGCAACCAAGATAAAGGAGAACCCCAAACCAAGAACCCAGGTATAAATAAACAGACTGGACCACAAGTACAGATCAAAGATCTCCAGGATGACCCCCCAAAGAAGTCCCAAAAAGCAGGGAAGCCAAAGAACCTCATCTATACTGGTGTTCAGCAAGGTATGCAGACCTCAGACACAGCAACTCCCACATGAGAGGCAGTGCAGAAACCGGCTCTACGGGCCTGACAGCAAGTGACACACCTAGAGACCACACTGTACTTGTAAGTAGGGGGACAACCCACAGATACTGTGGCTACAGCCAGGGCCACTTTCAGCAGCATTTGCACAGTTAGTCCCAAATAAAGATACCCATACAGGATCTCTGGGTATCTGTGGGAAATGTGTCTGTATATCAAGTAAGGTCTTGCTTCACTGGTGTATTAAACCAACTGCACCTATGAGGTACCTGGAACTGGGGCTGGCCTAGGAGAAAGAAAATAACCCAGGTGTTTCCACAGTGCACTGAGTACTAAGAAAGGGCAGAGGGGTGAGGCAAGGCCATGGTGCTTAGAGAGCAGTAAGGAGGGCAAGGTATTCAGAATTGACAACATCACCCACCTACAGGGCAAAAGCTTCAGAGTACTGGCTTCCTGTCTGTCTGCTTCAATAAACACAAACTCCAAGATGGCTCCACTTCTGCAGCCTCCACCTCAGCATCACACACATAACAGGACACTTATTTACCAAATATGGAAGGAATAAGTGAGCAACAAATCAGGAGGTGATACTAAAGCTGGGTCTTAAAGGTGCAGCAGCCAGAAGGTCCAGGGAAAAGGAGGGCTCCAGGTCAAGCGCAGAATGTCTACAAATCCTACAGGGAGACAACATGAGCCAGGAGGGGTAGTGTGGCTGGACCCAGCCCTGCCTAAAAGGGAGCAGAAAGTTTGCAAGGCAATGGCCCAGGTGGACAATGTCACTGCTGCAGAGATGGACGTGAAGGGGAGAAGGTAAGTGTAGGCCCAGAAGCTAAGAGCCCACCTGGGAGATACACATGCCATAGCCTGGGGTCCAAGCAGCAGCCAAATGCAGGGTGGATGGCAGAGTGGGGCCGGGACAAAGAGAACACAGGAATCCCCACAAGAGTGGGCAGGTAGGGATAGGAGACACAATGGTGGCCAAACTCAAGGCCAAAGCCCCTAGTTTTCCTTTTTTTTTTTTTTTTTTTTTTTTTT